TGTTCTTGGAAAAGTTTTATTAAAGAATCTGGTGCCTTTTGGTAATAACAATCCTAACTTTTCTCTCTTACAGTATATAGATGATTTGTTGTTAGCTAGAGGAGCCCAGGACCAAAAAGAGTTATAAGAGTTTCTGGGTATGATAGGTTTTTGTTGTTTTTAGGTGTCAAATTTTTGCCTCTGTTACTAAACTCTTATGTAAAACCCTAAAGGGAGATAATAGCCTCTTGCTTAGATTAAAATTCAGAACAGCAGAAACATTAAAGGATTAAAACAAATCTCTTAAGGGCTCCGGCTCTGGCCCTATCAGACAGCCCTGCGCCCATTCAGCTGTTTGTTCATAAAAAAAAAAAAAAAAAGTTACAAAAAGAGTCTCAACTCAGCCCTTAGGGCCATAAAAGCTCGCCATGGCCTATCTGTTCAAAGACTGGACTTTGTGGCTGCTGGGTGGCCATCATGCTTACAAGCTGCTGCAGCAGCTGCTATGTTAGTCAAAAAGACTGACAAATTAACTCCGGGACAGAAGTTGAGCATGTTCATGCCCCATGTGATGGAGACACTGCTGTAGGGTCCTAGTAAAAAGTGGCTCTCTGGCTCTAGGCTGTCCCAGTATCAGGAAGCCCTCCGTAAAGACACACATCTAACTCTTGAGAGTATACAGGTCATTAATCCTGCAGCTCTCCTTCCAATGTCATTGGAAATCCCAGAGCAAAATTGTGTAAAGACCATGAGGCTATTTATTCTACAAGACCTGACCTGCAGGACACACCACTCCAAGACTCCAACCTCGTCTTGTCTGCAGATGGAAGCAATATGGTAGTAGATGGGGCACGGAGGGCAGGAGCAACAGCTGTGACTGTGGAAAGGACAGTGTGGTCAGAAGCACTGCCTCCAGGGACTTCAGCTCAAAATGAAGAGGCCTTCTAACTACAAGAGGAAAAGAAATCAAAAACTCTTAAGAGATTTTCTTGTTACAGAAAATATGGTGGCCCACTAAAGTGGCAATGATACACTGTCCTGGACATTGAAAAGGCCAAGGCAGTAGGGCTGCTGACCTGACAGCAAAGCAAGCTGCTGGGGGGTACTTACTGCCAAAAACACATGTCATGTTAGCCCCATTCCTTCAGCCACCCAAATATTTTTAGACTGAGTGATTGTGGTTGAAGCCAAAAAAGACAAAAAAAAAAAAGGGTTGACAAATCTTGTCAAGGAAAGAGTATATTTTTGTTTAAACACGAGACATTGTGTGATTCAAAAACTCATGACAAGACCCATCTAAAAAAGACAGCTATCACCAAGCTGCTTGGCCACTATTTTTATATCTTCAGGCTTTAGACCTTGTACACCTCAGTGGCCAGCAAATGTGTGACTTGTACTAACAATAATCTAGTTTCTCACCCACAGTGTAAACTAGGCATCTGCTGACAGGGAACTTTTCCTTTGGAGGTGTCAAAGTGGACTTTATTGAGGTCAAGTCGATAGTTGGAAACAAAAGTATTTGTTGGTACTAATTTATACCTTCTCAGAATGGGTAGAGGCCCAGCCCACCAGACCTGAGACCTCTAGAGAGGTAGTAAAAACACTGATAAAACTAATCGTCCCCTGGTATGGACTCCCCATTATGGTAGGCTCCTCAGATAATGGGCCTGTTTTCATGGGTAGAGTAGTTCAGAGCCTTTCCAGTGCTTTGGGCCTAAGATAAAAGCTAGATGCTGTCTACTGATCCCAAAGCTTGGACCAAGTATAGTGGCAAAACCACACCCTGAGGGGCACCATGCCAGGAGACATGTGCAGACAGGGTGTCTATGCTTCTGATGGCCCTGCTGCTGTCATGCTGCACCCCATACCGGGATGGGCTCACTCCTTTTTAAAATCCTATTTGTAAGACTGCCACCTTTAGTGTTGGTATTGTAGAAATCATAAAAGACTGAGATAGAGTGGTCACTCCCTTTAAATCCCTAAGTTGGAGGAGGAGATCCTGACATCCATTTCTAATTAAGAATTTGTTAAACCCTAAGGGGCAAAGAGATGGCTCAGTGGAATAAACCCCTGGAATAAACTTCCAGGCAAATAAACGTTTGCCTGGGAAGGACAGGGGCCTGAGTTCCATCCCCAGTTCCACAAAGAAAAAAAAAAAAAAAAGAATTTGTTAAGTCCTTACAGGCTCTGCAGTCTACTCTACAGGCTACACACTCCCTCTTTCACTATCACCACTCCACAACCCAGAGAAGCCCATAACCCATTGGCAGTTGAGCTTAGACCCTTGGTGTAGATCAAGAAGCGAGACCTGTCAATTCTTGGACCCCACTGGACTGGACCATACCCTGGTGTCCTGAGCACTCCTATCATGGTCAACGTAACAAAAAAAATTAGATTCACCGCTCTCACATTAAGATGACCTTGACAGATCAACAGTCAGATAAGTTGACTTTACAAAAGACTGCTGAACTCCTCAAGGTCAAACTGACCAGACGTGGCTCTACTGGCTCTTGTTAGGGCTAACAGAGGCTTGACACTCTCCTACCACTTACATGTGGTGGCTGACTCAGAACCTAGATGGGGCAAAGATTGCTACTCAGAACTCCTAGTTCTATGTCTCCCTACCTGACCTTTTTAGATGTAAAAATGATAAAATAATATAGACCTCAAAAGAAAATAGGATAGACCCCAATAAAAAAAAATTGCCAAGAGTCTCCTCCATTCTATCTGTGCCGTAGCATGAACAGCTATCATACTTGTGGAGATGCCTCAAAAGATGGGGGATTCTTCTGTTAGAGCTAGAGATACAAAGCTATCGTCCCTGGGCAGATTAAAAAAAAAAATCTCTTTTTGAGTATTAATAGGGTCCCCCTCACCAACCAATCATATGATAAACTAAATAAATCAAGGGTTTAAATCATGTACAAAAACCAGTAGAGAATGTGATGAGTTAATATAAAACTAAATATAAAAAATTACTCTGCTCAACATTCTGTGACCCTGCTCCTTTTAAGACCACAGAGAGAGGGCCGGGGATGTGGCTTAGTGGCGCAGCGCCTGCCTAGCAAGCGCGAGGCCTGGAGTTCGATTCCCAGTACCAAAAAAGAAAATAGTAAAAATAAGACCAAGAAAAATCCCTTTGGAAAGAAAAAAAAAAAAAAAAAAAGACCACAAAGAGGTTTGGTGTACCATTGATAAATCATCAATAGACTGAGAGTTCCCAGAAAACAATGTTCCCAGAAAAAAATATATGCTGAGTAATAGTCATGCTGTCTCTAAAGGTACTGTTCTATGTTAAATGACAAATTTGCTTGCCAAACAGGATGTGGTTTCTACCTTTACTAAGGCTCCTGGCCGTTTTGTTCTTTCCTGCGTGAGTATAGTCAAGCGGTCCTGGGCCCAGTAATAAAAGGTTCATGTTTAAATTTTAATTTTGGATTCTGGTCTGGTTTCTATGTTGAGAACCCCTGACATTGAGTTAGTGAACTGGATAAAACACATTTCAGGATACGCAAATTGCAGATGGAGGACAGAAAATGGAAGTGTGGGAGGGAGCACAGAGGTATGCGTTAAAGCATCCGTCCAACTCAGAAACACCCCAAATCCCTGAGGTCAGCACATTATTCTAAAGAGATGGTACAGATCTGAGACTTTATCCTCTGGCAATGAGAAGTTGCAGAGGGGTTTTAAGGAGAATAGTAACATGACAAGGTTTTCTCTGAAAACATTCCTCTGGCTTTGATGGAACAATGGAGGATGGAACAGGAGGATGGACTGGAGAGGCAAAAGGGAAAGAGGTGAAATCTTAAGAGGTCTCCTGTGATGGAGATGTTGGTGATATAAACTAGAACAATGCAGGGTTGGGAAAGAAGTGATTGAGGATAGGAGATAACAAGAGGAGGAGGGGACACTGCATGGAGGGAGTACTCAAAAAGGACGAAGGTAACTCAGGGCTTCTCAACAAATGAACATGCTTGGAATTTTTCTTGCCTACCCAAATATCACCTTGCGAGCCTCCAGCACAGAACGCTTGGAGTTTGGTCTCCAAGTCTACACTGCTACTGCCTCCAGCCCCTTAAGCGGCAGATGCCATCCCCAGAACCTCTGCCTGGGCTGACTGCTTCCAGGCCTCATTCCTCCTGTGGCAGAATTCTGGAACTACAGAGCATCTGGATTCCCAGAATTCATGAGCCTCATGCTCCCGGGATTTGTTCTCCACCTCCATCCACCATCTGCCAGTGTGCGCAGAGCGTGCCATTTCCAGAGCTTCCACTAACATGTCAGAAGAACGTAATCCACTTACATGATGTGCCCTTAACTTAGGAGAAATCGCCGGATGACTTTCTGAGCTGAATGGCTCACATAATTTATACATATGCCACACAGAGCTAACAGAGATAAAAATATTTACATATTTTCTCAAGGATCATGTTGTAGTCACACATGATTCCAATTTTATGCATTGAAAATTCACAGATGGGACCACCAAGTCCTAACCCAATGACTCACATCTGAAGATTTAAAAAAAAAAATACTTATTAAAGGAAACTAGGATAAGTCATGCAAGCCCACTAGCTAAAAGGATCCAGAACGTAGCACTACACACTTGCCTTATGAGAAAAAAGATTAGGACCAAGAAAAATTTCAAGGCCTGGAGGGGGCAAGGCTGCTGTTGGGTGCCCAGGAGAGGCTACCCAAGGGTTCTTGAACACCTGCTGGTTATGCAGCATCATACAGAGAGAAATTGCAGACAGGCCTCTATGTGTTTTTGTTTGTTTGTTTGTTTTTGTTTTTGTTTTTTTTTTCTGGAACTGGGGATTGAACTCAGGCCCTTGCGCTTGTCAGAGAAGCGTTTATTCTACTGAGCCATCTCCCCAGTCACTGTATGTGTTTTGGGAGGGAAAAACAATCGTGAAAGGTCAGGAGGAAACTCCAAAATACTCCTGAAAGGCACATCTGTAACTGAAACTTAGGGGCCTCACAGAAAGAAATCAACTGCCCTGGAAGAAAAGACATCTCACCTGTTTTTGGAAGAGGATAGCTGATGTTAAACAAATCCTCTAGAAATGAGAAGATGGGTCCTGTGATGTTCAAAGCAAAATCTGCATTGCCATTTGCAATAGCATCTTTCCGGGCCCAGATGCGTATCTAAATCAAGACAATTAAGCAGTGATTAAGAAAAATGACAGTGGGCCAGGGAGATTGCTCAGCAACAATAAGCGCCTGCCTGGCAAGCTCAAGGTCCCAAGTTAGATTCCCATACTGAAAAAAAAAGTGATAGCTCTGATAGCTCCTTTGAAAAGGGGCCACCTGCTTAATCCGTCTGTCTCCTACTCAATATCCAGCCTTACTTTTTCAGAAGAAGCTACACATTTAAAACATTTAAGTGCAGATATATATAGATAGATAGTGACTACCCTAGAAAGTATGTCATGTCAATCTTTGATAATAACATGCATTATTTGGGAGGGGTTGTTTTTTCTTTTAAGACAGGGTCTTACTATATAATCCAGGCTGGCCTCCAACATGCTGTAATTCTCCTGCCTCAGCCTCTCAAGTGCTAAGATTACAGGATACAACACCACCCTGGTGATAATTCTGTAATTATAAAACAATCCTTGGGGGCTGAGGAGATGGCTCAGTAGAATAAGTGTTTCCCTGGCAAGCGCAAGGGTCTGAGTTTAATCCCTAGTTCTGAAAAAAAAAAATCCTTGGAAAATGTGGGTTCCATGTTCTACTGGAAAATTCTCTTTTCAGGACATATTTCTAATGATTCAAAACAGAAGTGTGCCCTTAGTGATGGTTACACGCAATGTATACATTAAGCAAATTTGAATCATGAACACGTAACATGATTTAATAATGGAAGCAAAAATATTCCCAACTTGTTTTCAAATTTTAAAGTAAAACTATGCATGAAACTAAAAACTCTTGGAATGAGAGTTGAGATTCAAATATTAATCCTGATGTGGGTGCAATTAATTTATAAAAGAGCTTTGGGCAACACAGTGGAGGCCATCCTAAGAAAAATAGAAAGTCAGCATACCAGGCACAGACTTATGTATTCCAAGAGCACGTCTACCTAACTATGATTTTATTTCTATTGGAAAATTGTTCCTGAATTATGTGAACTTTCAGTTACGTGATGGCTTAGGAATGCTCTTTCACAAAATGCAACCACCTGTTTTTGAAGCCCTAGCTTGCATCCCTTCATTGCTTTCTGTCTCCCTTGTGCTCCAGAGGAGGCCCCTTTGTACTGGGAAAGACGGTCCCAATACTGCCCTGCCTGTCCAAGTGAACCCACACTCCTCCTTCCCAAGTTCTCACTTTTCAGGTGACAATGACCCTGCTCAGCCAGAGGCCACTTTACTGAGGAGAGCAGTAATCATCTTTCCCCACTGTACCCTTCTGAAAAATAGTATAATTATCAATTAATACTTGCACATTAATTTTCTATTTACAAAGATCCTCCCATAAATGACCATTTTATAGGTCAAAAATCCTTCACAATCACACCTGGCCCACCAGTGGGTGCTGACAGCCCTCACTAGACACAATAGATCTTGATGTCTAGGAGAAGGCTATCTTTACAAGTGCCCCTGTGTGCCAAAATTTTAAGCAAAGTATGCTATTTTCATCCTTACTAATATGTTTGCCATGTTTATTTTGGGCTTCATGTGGACCATATCCTCACTTTCATTAAATCTTTATCGCTTAACTCGTGACTTTTGGGTAGGCTGAACAGCACTGGAAGCATACCCTATAGGGTATATGATGGACTCACTCACTTTGTAGAGCTGAGTCATAGTCAGATCGATGTTCCACTGACAAACAGCCTGAACTGTAAGTTTTCTGACTAAGAATATTACTTCTTAGGCATGCTACATTTCCTCGGTTTCTATAGCAGGTTACATTCTTTATAGGGTGATTTTTCATGAAGAAACAGACTTTATCCCAGGGCTCAAATCTATGACAGGGCACCAGCATTTACTGAAAGCCTCTTGAACTATGGATGCTGAAGGACCACGATGTGTATCTCACTAGTTATGGGAAATAAGGAGCTTATTCCTTCTTCCAGGACCAAAGTGCACATTTCCAAATCATATCTGAGCAAACTCCTCAATGTGTGTCATGAATTTTTCACTTGGCCAATTGTTACACACAAAAGTTTGGGATTCCCATGGGTGAGTAATTAGGTTGCAGCCAATAGCTCAGGAAGATAGGCTGCTGTTTGCAACAACACAGTACTGTTAATTCATTAGATCAGGAGGATGTAGGAGTAGTGTGAGTGATTCTCTCCTGATGATAGACATGGCTCACCATAGCTTCCTTTCTGCACATCTCAGTGGGATGAGCCTGGAGGATCCCAAACCTGAAAGTGGCTTTCAACCAGAAATATGGCCTGATTGTCCTCAACTCTCCAAAGCCCTGTTGTGTGACTAGAAGGCACGGAACCTCAGGCACCAACCTTGCAAAGCTTGTCTAGTTCCATAGTATGGTAGAGAGTGAAGCAGCATAGAAAAGACTGACATTTTCCTGAGATCTTACATTGTAAGAAGGATATAGTTGGAGAAAACTACGATTTTGTGATAGTGCACCCCCACATACTTTACACAAGTCTACGGAAGTGCTGCATGCCCAGAGTTGAGGGACACAGAAGCCCAGATTCTACAGTAAGTATAGTCTGCACGTGCCATTTCAGCAACCATGGTTGCTACTGGCTGATATCTGTTTTGATTGATTGATTCCTGGGCCACAACTGATGCTAAACACTTGGAGCTTCCAGGCTACATGGACACTTGAAGTTAAGCAAACAACATATACTAAACCTGTGCTATAGGAGCCAGTAGAGCAGCCCTCTTTGTTCTCTCCTGTCCTTTCCAAAGGCAGAAGCAGGAAAAGGGCATGCAACATCTGCCTGAAGAGTGGCTTAGTTTGCAGTCTTCCCACAGAAACCCCTGCACAGAACTGTAGCAGGAAATGTTGTCCCTTTCTGCAAAACTTCACTGAAAGCTATAACAGGGTGAGAGAGAGAGAGAGAGAGAGAGAGAGAGAGAGAGAGAGAGAGAGCCAGGAGGTGACAACAGGATGTGTAGGTATGATTCCTGAATGTAGGCAGCACAGATAGGCAACTCACAGCCAGTCCCTTACCTTAACAATCTCCACTACTCACCTCCTTGCCTCTTTCTGTCCTATTGACTTGGTCATAGTCACATATGGCAAGTGCAACTAAGTACGTTGGCATGTAGGGTGTGGTACAGAAGGTAGTAACAGTCCATTTACTTCCATTTACATCTCTTTCTTCTTGACCTAGAGAAATCATTTTAGTCCAAATCAGTGTACAACTAGGTGATAATATCTAATTCTGAAAGACTTTGTCGAGCCAATTGTCATTCAGCCATTCCTTCCCATAGTCTTGTAATTTGAATTTCTTCACCTTCCCTAGGCCATCAAAACAACAGTGGGCTATTGTGAAAATAGATCACCCTGGGATCCAAACACGAAGTAACAGTATGGAGATACGAACCCTTGATTACCCTGGTTTGCTCAGTACACATGTTGAAATATCACACTATTCCTCAAAATTAGGTACAATTATTTTTTATTCAATCATATTTTTAAGGTGTTTAATGAGGGGGCTGGGGAGATAGTTTGGTGGTCTAAATGCCTGCCTGTCAAGCACAATGACATTTGATCTGCCTGCTATACCAGCCTCAGAACCCTGGGTGCCCTGTGCCAGCTAACAAAACCAGGTGTGGTGCCTTCAATCCCAGCACTGGGGAGACTGAGACAGGAGGATCACTATGAATCCGAGCTGTGTAGTGAGACCCTATACCAAATAAACAGAAGATTTTTAAAAAATCTTTTTTTAAAGGTGTTTAAGGAGATGAGAATGCCAACTCCCCTAATTTGCTCTTTGTCCATTGTATACATGTATCAAGTCATTACACTGTACCTCACAAGTGTGTACAATTTATATGATACTAATCATTTTAAAAATAAATAATACATTAAGGGCATGGGCTTGACTTGGGCTCCAGCCCGTGAGGACAGTAAAGCTGGTCTGAATCTGCATTTCCTCTCTCCCACCCACTTCTGCTTCCTAGTCCGGCCCCTTTCTCGGGGTACTTCCTCCAGCACGGCCTGGCTCTGTGATTGGTCAGTAGTGCACGATCAGCTACGTTCTAGTCAGCCGCGACTCCAGCAGCAGCAATTTGCTGATGAAGGCAGAAATTATAGACATAAGTGTTTCTGAGGATTGGTATTTGCTGTGCAGTGGGCTTGGCACGCTACAGGAAGCTGTGGACACAGTGATCCAGTCTGCAGGAGGCAGTTCCGCTGCAGTCCGTGGTTGACGTCATGTAAAAGTTGAAAGGTAGGGGTTAGATCTTTCAAAGCTTTAAAGAAGTGATCATCTTGATTTTATGCAAAACCACAGGCTCTTTAAAAGTTGGAGATGAACTCAATCAAAAGAAAAAGGCCACAGGACCCAAATAAAACACATCTGTGCATCAGATTCAGACCAAGTCCACCAGCACGTTATCACTAATGATCGACAGTTGAGACCCCGCTAGCGGGCGGAAGACAGCCAGCCAACCTGCTCAGACAGTGTTCCATCTCCAGAATCATGCCCTCAGATTCAGGTAGAGAGAGAATCCAAATTTATTGTTTCCAAGATGTGGGGACTGACATACAACTGCTCTCCCCAATTATTAAAAAGAAACATGCAACTTCTAACATACTGGACAGAAAAGCTATTGACATAAAATTTATTATAAAGTTTATATTTACATAATCACTGGGAACATAACTTACCTAGCTGTGGCATGTTGGAAAGGGCCACAAAACTTGGATGATGAATAATTGTAATATTAAAAGTTGCCTTAAGAGCTGGCTCATCAAAACAAGGGAAAACATTCCTGGCAAATGTTGGTTCCATGTGAGATGCTATCAGAGCTCTGAAATACATTAATAGGGAAAGAAATCTTTATTTTTGTCTCAAACCAATGAAAACAAAAAATAAGGATACTGTGGCTTATAATTAAGTCTGGTGTGCGGGTGGAAGGGAACTAGATGTTTTTCTGCATCTTCTTCAGTGTCCTCCCCAAAACACACACTCCAATTCTCGCTGCACCTAAGAATTCTTGTAAGACTCAAAATAAATTTTTTTTAAAAAACTCATTAATTTTCTCCCACAAAATATTTGATTCATTACATCATGAACCTTTAAGGGCTTTCATAAACAAAATAAGAACAAATATAGCAATACATGATCCCAGTCTTTTGAAAAACAAATTTTTCAAGACTAGGCTCATTTGAGAATGGTCTGTTGCTTTCAGCCTACAAGTCAGTTCAGAGAATGCCTATATTTTTCTTGGTTTTCCCTGCAAGTGTTCCTTCTTTGTCCTGATTTAAAACTTATAAAAAATTTATTTTGGATGTTCTGGAGAGTAAAGAATACAGTTCCATACTAACTGAACAAACCCACTTTCCATTATATGGATTGGAATAATTGGGCAGATTAGTCAAATCTTTACTGACTTTTCTCCTACTTCTATGGAAACACATAAAGAGTGGCATCCCCTACTGCAATGGTAACTTACAGGAGAAAGTCCCCAAGCAAACAAGATGAAGTCAGTTTGGCCTCCACAAATGCCACCAGATCTGACAAAACACAGGTCCTGGCAGCCTGCAGTCTGGATATCGCTTGCCAAGATTTTGGGTGGTGGTGAGAATGTGAAATTCCTCCTCCACCTGAGGCTTTTGTCTCTGGTACAGTTCTCCTTGCTTCAGGCCCAATTCTTATATAAATAATGAACTGAAGAGGACACATCTCTCCATTACCTTTGTGAGTCCTTCCTCCATCACGACAAAGCCTGTCCGCTCAGAGCCATATACACCCTTCAGCAAGGACATATAGGGCACTCGGCACACAGAAAATTCTCACAGTGACACCTGTACCACCTCTATGTGACAGAACTGTGATATAAATAGCTTGTCTTTCCCTGTTTACTTTTTTCCATTTTGCTATACTCTTGTTTGCGTGAATTGAAAAGAAGCCTGTGAGTTCTAACACTGACGTATCTGGCTGCAAGACTCCGAGCCTTCTGCCTCCAGCTGAACAGTGCTGCAGAAGCTGCATAATACTGCTGAGCCTCAGTTTCTCCACCTAGAAAAAAATGACACTATATGCATTGCAGTGCTGCTTGAGCTTTTATGTTATTAGAAACAAAAGTTACCAATAAATTAGCTGTGCATTCTCTAACCTTCCAAGCTCCCAAATTATTCTTAATATAGATGAAATATAGAAGAAATGAGTCATATAGGGAGGAGTAGAATGTTGAAAACACTAATTCCAAATGCATTAAAAGGAGCACAGAGATTACAGCTAATCACAAAATGAATGCAAATTATGTTTACTCAATATGAAACTTTTAGAAGCTAAGGGATATGTTTTCTTAAATTCATTCATTTGGGTAGTAACAATAAGCTTGTCTTCTGGATGTTAACAACCTAAGTCTGCAGACCGAATTAGAGAAAAAGGAGGGCCGCAAGGAAAGCCAACTTTTTAGCCCTAGCCTTCCAAGGTCAGTTAAGACTCAAGACATATGAGCATTTGTACTGTTACATCATGTAACTCGGTAGTGTCCCAAATTTTCTGATCAAGGAGATTATGGGGCCAAAGAGGAAAGTGATCAATGATGTAGACTGTGCCTAAGGAGAGTCACATGGAGAGAAAATATTCCCTCAGGCTTTCACAGATAGCACAATGGCCAAGCAATGGCCGTGACTCATCCACATGGTTGACACTGATGAAGGTTCTACAATCTGAGATACAGATTCTCAGGATAAATCCTGAGGGGATTTCACTGACCTTATCAGACCCAAAAGCTAGAATTCTTGTTGCATAGGTCCTCTTTACCTTGGTCTTAACCATCCAGCATAAAAGTATAAAAAAGAAATATAAGAAGTAAAGTCATACTGTTATGTTGAGCTGTAGGGGACTCAGGTCAACAATTTCTGACATTGCCAGTGAAGCAGAAGACCCAATACTATTATGGGCTACTGGACTCTTTTACAATATTTTGCTGAGTTTACACACCTATAATATTCAAATAACGGAACTTAACTAAAAAAGTAGATACAGATGAATGTCCATTTTGTACATGTGTATTCAAAGTGGGTAGAATTGATATATAGTTACATTCTCTTAATGAATAGAGGGATTTTTTTCTAATGGTGTTTGTAAATAGGATATCATGTCTGCATCTTGAACAGCAATTAACCACTAAGAAGAATGTATGCAATGTGTTAATTATTGAAACTGTCCTATCAATTTGATTTGAAACTCTCTCATTGCTGTTTCTCAATAAAATTATGAAAAAAAATAAAAAAAAATTCATTCATTTGTATCATTTATACTACTTGATAAAAATTTGGTTCATACCAAACAAATAAATGTTTGCTCAGCCTTGAAGTTACTATGAAATATAAGCAACTTAATATTGATGTATACCAAGGAATATGAAGGGCATGGGCAGAGTTTGTTATGCTGGCATTCATTTGTTTTATAGCTTTGGTTGTTGTACTTAAGAGGGGCAGGGCAGAGTCTAGAAGAGTCACATGATTGACAATATAATAGAAAACTACCGAAAGGGTAATTCAGCCACCTTAGTGCTTGCTTAGGATCTGCAGGGAAAACCAAGCTGTGTAACTCTGGAGAAAGTTGCTTCAACTTTGTAGACATCAATTGCTACAAAATTGGACTAGGTGGATCTGAAAAGCTTCCTGGATCTCTAAAGCTGTGGTTCTAAGAGGAAATGGGAAGAGAGCTTATAAAGCAGCCTTCACTAAGTCATCTGGAATGGGAAGAAGCAGCTTGGGATCCACCCATAGCTTTCAAGAAGTCTGTAGCCCTCTGAAATTTGGAGCATTTTGTGTAAATAGTGGCATATTAACATGCAAAAGTATAAAGTGAAAAAGTACATCCAATGGCATAATGCATGCTTATGTATTTTGAAAGCTTACAGAAGCCTACTGTTTGTTTTTTCCTTTTTTTTTTTTTTTTAACAGAAACTATGGAAAGGAAAGCAGCTTGACAGTATCGTCTGCACTGCCATAGGATCACAAAGCTTATGAGTGTCAATGAGGCTGCAAGGTAGGGAGCAGGGGGAGAATCAGACTCTGCAGGAAAGTGGAAAATTTTATGCTACGGACTCAAAACGACTAGGAGACACCAGCCTAGTGAATCACCACTTTAACAATCAGACATCAAGCAAGTGCCTTCCAGTCCCATGATTCAGATCTCCAGAGAAGTGAAATGAAAGAAACTCTCTTGGATTTTATTCAACTATTTCTCTCCCTAGTTTTATACAAATAAACAAGAAGTTAAGGAAAGATCCCTAAAACACACAGCCTTTTTTGGCACTCAGTCTTAACTGCAGAGGTCAGGAACAACCAGCAGTATGTGTCATTTGGTTATACCACATCTGCATGGCATTTCCACCCCTCCTCTCTCTGCTGTGGGGTCAAGTACCCCTGTAAGGCCCAAACCCTAGCAATAGAGCCATCCGTCACTTTCTCCTCCCTTCTCATTTCACTGAAACATGTTATTACAGTGCCCATTAAGACTATGTTTAGAATGGGCAGTTACTGAAGGAATTAATTTGAGAGAATTTGCCTCTTGTCCTGCCAGAGAATCATCGACTCACTGCTTTCTGCTCCTGGAAGAGATTTTAGTGGTCAAGAACCACATGATGCCCTTGGGGAATCAATCTACTACCATTCTAGAAAAATATCCACTTTATTTGCTCTGTAAGGCATTTTATTCAAATTATTTTATGAACTCCATATACTTACAACTCTGATTAACAAGTGTTAAATACAGAGCTGGTTAAAGATTAAATAAAACTCTTCAAGTGTTGCCTACACCAACCCCTTGTTTTATTTATTTATTTACTTATTTATTTTTTGCACAATGCTCCCAGAAATGAACATCTTTAACAGAGCCAAATTTTACACTAATGGCCTGTGGTTCAAGGATTGTCCCGTGAATCATGTTTGTTTATTACTTGTGTAATAGGATCTGAAAAGTGAAGTTTCCACCAAGCAGAAAAATATAAAAGATACAAAATTCCAAAGGAAGGTGCCAAACCATGTCATGGAGATATTTAAACTGAATGCCTTTGAAACCCTGGGTGTCATTCTTGGACTTCTCAGCTGAACATGGAAGGACCTAGAAGAAAGGTCAAAGAATGAGAATAGAAGATAGCAGAGCCAGATCTTTTGGAAGGCAGTGGATGGTGTTTTTGAAAAGCTTTCCACAGTGTCAGGGAGATGGGGGAAGTAGAATCATCTAACCCTGGACAAGGGGTAGGAGATCCTCAGAGAAGAGTAGATGTATTTCTTGAGAGCCAGGTGTGACAGAGCACACATGTAATGCCAGGTACTCAGGAGGCTGGGGCAAGAGAAATATATGAGTGAGATCAGAGGAAGGCCATCTTCCTTGGTGAGCTTGCTTCCTCTCCTGCCCCGATCCCAGGCAGGGCCAAATC